AGAGCGGAATAGCATACCATAGACTTGGTTTAAGTATGTTAAAAGAGAGCGAAATAGCGTAAATTAGACTTGGCTTAACTATGTTAAAGAGAGCGGAATAGCATGAAATAGACTTGGTTTAACTATGTTAAAGAGAGCGGAATAGCATGAAATAGACTTGGTTTAAGTATGTTAAAAGAGAGCGAAATAGCGTGAATTAGACTTGGTTTAAGTATGTTAAAGAGAGCGGAATAGCATGAAATAGACTTGGTTTAACTATGTTAAAAGATAGCGAAATAGCGTGAATTAGACTTGGTTTAAGTATGTTAAAGAGAGCGGAATAGCATGAAATAGACTTGGTTTAACTATGTTAACAGAGAGCGAAATAGCATGAAATAGACTTGGTTTAAGTATGTTAAAAGAGAGCGAAATAGCGCGACTTAGACTTGGTTTAAGTATGTTAAAGAGAGCAGAATAGCGCGAATTAGACTTGGTTTAAGTATGTTAGAGAGAGCAGAGTAGCGTGAATTAGACTTGGTTTAAGTATGTTAAAGAGAGCAGAATAGCGCGAATTAGACTTGGTTTAAGTATGTTAGAGAGAGCAGAGTAGCGTGAATTAGACTTAGTTTAAGTATGTTAAAGAGAGCGGAATAGCGTGAATTAGACTAGGATAAAGTATGCAAAATGAAGCTGAGGACTTTGTGAAAAAATGCGAAGTTGTTTGCTGTTCTAATTGTATGGGTTTGGAGATGTTTTTGGCTTGGATTAATAACAGGCAGGAAGCGCGAGGAAACGCAGCGAATATGGACGCGTACGCGGAAGGTGACGGCGGAGGAAGCGCGGATATGGAGGTGAAAATGGTGAAGGTGATGGCGCGAGGAAGGTGACGGCGCATGGGTGTGAATATGGAGGTGATGAAAGGTGACGGGAGGAAACGCATGATGTATATGACAAGTTGGTGTCGTACTTAAGCGGAGCGCGCGCTGTGCATGTATGAAGGTGTCGAAGGTGTTCATATTGCCTAAGACGCGTACGTGCACATGTCATGTCGCATAGGAAGCGTAGGTATGGTTGTGCAAGTCGTAAATGGCCACTTTGGTGGTTTAACATTGTTTCCAGGCCGCGTATGCGCAAATATGGGGTGCGGCGGCTATCTGCACTGCTGTGTATGAAGGTGTCGGTCTGTGTGGGGTTCCTATCGGAGAGAATACGTATGCTGCGTTGTAGGAGTGAGCTGCTGGCCACACGTTTGTATTGGAGTGCGCCACACCACCCCCCTTTTTGTTTTGTTACTATATAAAGTGTAGCCATCCACCCAGCCAATTCTGAGGGCCAGAAGGGGTATTGGGGGCCATCGTGTGCAGTCTATGGCCACGTATGTGGACATGTGAGTGTGTAAATGTGTTGTACCAATGTATACGAATGATAGACACTAATAGGCGTGTCGGTCAAAGTCAAATGTAGACGGCCATCTTAGGCTGAAAGCACCATATCCCGTCTGCTCTGTGAAGTTAAGCAGCCTCAAGCTCGGGTAGTACTCGGGTGGGTGACCACCGGGGAAGTCCGGGTGCTTACTTTTTAGCCCGTTTTGAGCTGTTTACCGACTTTGCGTGTGTTTGCAAACGCAAGATATGATGTCTGGCATGTGCCCACACGACATCTTGGTTTTAGTATGCCTGGCGAGCCACTACACACGAGATCTTGTTTTTTGTATGGTGTTCTTTAATTTGATTATTATGAAGATGAAAGAGAACCGTTAGAACGGGTATGAAGGGTGTTCTAGGGGTGCTTTTCGGTGCTCTTTCACGTGGACATATCGCAGCATGCGACATGTCAGTGGAACACTGTCTAAATTAATAAATACTGTTTTGGCCGATTTCTAAAAGCGTCTATAAAAGGGCATAAGTGCAATGACTCGTCTTTGTAACCCTGCGGCCTAGGCGTAGTTTTTCACGGGGAATCCGAATATCAAGGTAGATTTATGTACAACATGTACTTTTTTTGCAACATGTACTTTTATCTACGGGACATAGACATACGTAAAACACACGGCGGAGCCGTTCCCGCAATCAGAATTTGTCTAACTCTTCTAGATAAAAAGTTATTCAGCGAAATGTGAGACTTTGTTTGGCATGCTCTTTTTTTAGGTGGTTTTTTCCGGTTTTATGTGCCGCCCGGCAGATCTGGCCTGCAGACTTTAGCAGAAAACTTGGCGCATGTGTTCGCACGACCGCTCCCAAAGTTTTACAAGCATATCTCCAGTAGTTGCTTCGCAATGATTTTTTTAGTGACGCCAAAAAACGCCATTTTCGCGGAAAATGGACACCTTGGACGGCCAAAATCACCACTTTTGGCCATGTTTGGCCCTGCACATCCAGGAAGCAAATGAGACTGCTCCGTATAAAAACTGCCCTAGGGGTGCTTTTATGCGCGCATTCCCGTGGTCAAGTCAGATTTTGGCTAAATTCAAATGCCTTGTCTATAAACACTTTTTTCGACCTAAATTTTCACCTGTTTTGTCCCGAAATGATAGCACCCATTCTTTATTTGCCTATATATCGCGAAGGAGGCAACTTTTTTCCTGTTAAGTATAGATAAAAAATTTAATTCGGCGTTTTAGCGCACGAGGAACAAAAGTCTCCATACAAGCTACCCTCGGTTTCTAATGACTTTTTGAGTTAGGGAAGCGTGGATCTTCTTTTTTTCTTGTTTCCAGGACTTCACATGAACTTCCAACTCAACTCGAATTGTCATCCCGGGCCCACCACGCATCGAAACGACACTTTTCTCGGAACTGGCGAATAAAAAATAGGTCACCAGATGCGCAAGAGTCTGGGATGACAGAATATCAAAACAATAACAGAATCGTTAGTACTTTTTTTGTCACCAGCGCCCTTTTTCTGTTTTCGCGTACATAATCGAGCATAACTTTATCAATTTATACCATATCGACCGATATCGATTGTCACGATAGTGTACTTTTTTTAGGCGCACATGATGGTAAAAAGAACGGCCACCTATTCCCAGCCGTTCTTAAGTTATGCTCTTTTAAAGATTTTACTTTAGAGATGACACACCCTCTCATTTCACTCCATTACATGCTCTTTTTGCTGAATTACGTGGCACAGACGCAGAAAATCATGGTTCGCAAGTCGAACATTTTTGAAGAGCGCATCGAAACGGACATTTTCTTAAAATAACATGGTATACAAAAAGTGCGTTCTTGAGCCTGTAGCAAACGATTTGCATCCATGACATCCCAAAAACTTAAAATAACATATCTCGACTCCTAGAATGAAATCGACGTGAATCCTTAGGGCAGTTAGTGTGTTTTAGTATCATACTTAACACCACAAAGTTTTACGGGGCACTCTACAATACTCTTCCCAAGACGCAAGAAAATGTTCATTTTGGGGGGTCCTCTAACGCGAACTTAATGATAAAATACCGCACTTAGTCCATAAAATACGAACTTAGGCACTATTCGCACTTAGTAAAATAACTTCTCGCACTTAG